TTGGGCTCAGAGGAGACGGGAAGGAACTGGGGGTCTGGAATCCCACACAATTCCAGCAAGTCGAGTTCGGAGGCGGGGCCCGGGCCTTTCAGCACCAAGGACAGCGCCCGCCGCGGCGGTCGTCGCGCCTCTTCCGCCGGCTGCTCGGGGCCCGGCCGCCCGGCCCGCCGCCTCCTCCCCGGGCAGCGGCTGCGCTTCGCTCCCCTTCTCGCCGGCGGTGGTGGAGTTTTCGCCCGTTTCTCGCTTCCTCCTAAGACGTCGCGCTGAGGGGTGGTTGTGGCCGTCTTTTGGCTCTTCAGAACATTTGGAATCTTTATTTTTGTGTTTTTTCACCCTCTTTTTTTATCTTTTATTACCGCCGGGGAAGACGCTGCGGACAATGGGGCCGGGCGGGCGGACGACCTCCTCTCCGGGGACTGGCGGGCGGCGGCGGCGGCCGGGAGGGGGCGGCGGCCGCCCAGCTGTTTCGTTCCCGTTGCATCCGAGTGTTGGCGCCTTGAAGGAACCGCACCGAGCGCGCCCGCTCCGGACCCCGTGCCCCGGGCTCAGTACCCGCAGCCCCGGCTCCGCGACCCCGGCCGCCCGCGCGCCCCCCCCCCCCGGCAGGTCGGCGTGGGCCGGGCCGCGAGCGCGCCCACGGCGCCCGGTCCCCGGAGGCTTGAGGTGACGGTCCCTCCGGACTCGGGACGAGCCGTTCGGCGCGGGAAGCGGTGGGCGGTGAGGGCGAGGCGGGCACCGGGCGCCCCACGGGCCGCGGGGGCGAGTTTCGTGCGTAAAATAGCGTCCGCGTCAAGGTGAGTGAATGAGAAACGTCCATCTCGATTTTCTCTGTTTCTCTTCTTTCTGACGTGTTTAGCATTTACAGCCTCCGGGAAAGGTGATTTAGAGCCACGGGGTTTGTTCCTTTTAGCCGGCTCTTCGGGGTCTGTTTCAGTGTCTGATGAGAGACGGGAATGTGAAGGAGCCCGAACGGCGGCGTCGCCCCCGGGACCGGGCCGTGGGGAGCGGTGCGAGCCGGGCGCCCGCTGTGCTTCGTCGGGGCGCGTCCGGCGTGTCTGTGGACTTGAATGATAGTCCCCCGATCGTCCTGGACCCGGAGGCCGCCGCCGCGCCCCCGCGGCCGGGGCGGGTTAAACGGGCCGCGAGGGAGGCGGATTCGCAGCCCGGGCGCCGGGCGGACTCCGGAATCGCCGCCTTCCCTCCTCTTCCCTGCATCGCTCCGGGAGCAGGCAGACGGTCCCTTCCCCCTTGACATCCAGAGGATGAAAGTGTTCTAATAGGAAAGGAATTAATCAGGGAGGACGGAGCGGTTTGTATTAGGGCAGATCTTGTACCAATCTTAAGACGCCCGATTCCTGTGGTTCCGAATATGAAGACAAAGGGCCACCAGGTGGCGACAGACAACAGTTTCTGAGCACCCACGACGGCCCACGAGGGGCACTTCTTCCCGGGAATCTGCAGGCCCTGCCGGTCACGCGCATCCCTTGCCGTGTTTCACAAAGCGGAGCCTTTTCCAAATCGGAGAGGTGCCGCCGGAAGTGGCTGGGACACCCCGAGTCTCTGTCCCTTTGGCGAAAGGAGGTGCAGAGTGTCCATTTCTCCCGGAGCTGCTCCTCTAAGATGCCCGTCCGAAGGGAACCCTTAGGCACGGTCCTCACTGCGAAACTGGAGACCGAGGAAGTAACAGATTTGGATTGCAGTTCTGACAGCTTGTAGGATGTATTTGTGTTTTCAGTTCTTCGTTCAACAAAAACTGAGGCAAATTCGGTCCTTTCCTAAAAGAGTGGGATGCTTCCAGGATTTCTCAAAGCACACCCTTCGTGGGAAGTGGGCTGGAAACTCTTCTTCCTTCAGTCCCAGTGCCCTGTACACTGCTCAGGGAGGCTGCCCAACTCTGCCACGGAAACCACTTGACCTTGGGAAATCACCGTCTCCGGATTCCCGTAATGGGAGAGTTAGGGTATCAGATGAGACCAGATAAGGCTTCATTTATCTGAAATAATTTAGTAATAGTATTTTGTGACTCCCCTTACTGGGGAGTCTTCTTGTGTTGTGAGTGCTAAGGACTCCTTTCAAGGACCTCATGAAGTCTTCTCAGCAGCCTCATACAGGAGGAAAAGCAAAAACTTTCAAGTCAGCCCTGGCTGGTGTAGCTCAGTGATTGAGCGTGGATCTGTGAACCAGAGGATCGAGGTTCAATTCCCAGTCAGGGCACATGCCTGGGTTGCAGGCCAGTTCCCAGCTGGGGACACACGAAAGGCAGCCATACATTGATATTTCTCTCCCTTTCTCCTTCCCTTCCCCTCTAAAGATAAATAAAATCTTTAAAAAGAAACCCTTTCAAGTCAGTCAGCCAAGTTCAAATCTAGATTCTCCTTATCAGCTATTATTGAGTGCTCTGAATTTTCTCATCTGTAAAATGAGGGCGAATACCAGCTTTGTGGGCTATCTTATTTGATGTTCATAAAACTCAGCGAGTCCAACTGTGGCTCGTTTATGGTGTGCAACAGATGTCAGTTCCGCTCCCGTCCTACCCCCTCAGTTCAGCAATGATGTTGATCCATTTAAATGTCTCCGTGGATGTGAAAGCGAAGCCTCGCAAGTGTTTTATTTTGTTGCCCATTTGTTTCAGTGGAGCTTGATCGCCCCTTGGCATGGACTTGAGGCCCCTTTCCCTGATGAGTCGGAGGTTTTTTAACCCACAGAGTTTTGATTCCAAAAGAAGAAAGCTTTCTGATGGGATATTCAGATTCACCTGACGAAGGGTGAAAGGGAGCCTGTTTGGGGCCGAAGTCCTCACTCTGCCCCAGGGACACTGCTGTTTCTTGAACATCTGAGGCACACGCTCCCTGTGGGGACCTGGCAGCTACTGTTCCCCTGCCTGGGAAGAGAGCTCTTCCCCAGAGGAGCTGTGGGATTTGTTCCTCCTGTTCTTGGTCTTTGCTCCAACGTTCAAATGTTGTTTTCTCAGTGAGACCTTGCTTTACCCTCCCATCTAAAATTTCAATTCTCCCCTCAATAGTACTTCCTGTCCCTTCCCTGTTTTGTCTTATACCACTCGATATATTGAATATTTCATTCATTTATTGTTCCTTTTTCCCACTAAAATGTAAGCTCCATGAGGGCAGGGTTTTTTTTTTAAACCGAGGTATTCCCAGCATAGGGTGGTTCCTGGAGCACCGTAACTACCCCCTGTGTATGTCGCTGTCTTGTATTTGTGCAGCTGAATAGACACTCTGTTCCTAACCCCTTCAGCTGGCCATGTGGAAGGCACCCGCCACTGCAGAATGAGGCGGGCAGTCATTTTGCATCAGTTTCTTTTCTTCATCTGGATTCAGAGAAACTGAGAAGAAAATGTAGAGGAAGAAGAAGTAAATCCCCCCAAATCGGAGCCACCTAGGAGACTTCAGTTATCCTAAAAGGGAGCAGCTAGTTGCGTGAGTATTTAAACCACTGCTCTAAGAGTTGTGAAAGATCTCCGTTTAGCAAGTTTTAATTTGAGACAAGTGTCTTAAACTATTCTTTTAATTCCATTTGGTACACGCAATTTTTACTATTTTTCCTCTTATTTTTTCTCACTGGTGGGTTGCAAGCCCAGAGAAGAAGGCAGCGTTGGGACGGGGATGCTGGCTGTTGATGCACGTGCTCTGCCCCACCTTTGGTGGTGCTCTCCCAACGCCGACGGGGAAACTGGTCCTGGTGCCAGTTATGGTGGAGAAGAGACTGTGCTCCTGACACACTGTCCAGGAAGCTGACACTTACTGTCTTTATGGAGTGATCACTTTCAAACGATACTTTCTATGGAGAGACATTTAAAATGATTTGATTAGAGATGAAGACACACTGAGGGACCTGAGGGCATAAACACCAAAAGCCTTGTTTCAGGATAGAAGAGGAAGCAAGCTGAAAATATGTCAAAGGGGCAAAGAAACTCATGAAAGTTACCCAACTGCTACAATTATATGGGTAGTGTCCCATACCATATTTGTGTGTAGTGGGGAAGCGAAATGAGAATGAAGATTTGCCAAGCGAGCTCTGTATATTGGTTACCTATGTGTCACCTCTTTCAAACATCTACAGTCAGTCAATGTGGATAAGAACTGAGCACTGATGGTCAAAGTTATAAAGCCACACACACACATACACAGACCTAGATTTCAATCTGCCAATTTCCAGGCATGTGGTCTCCAGGCAAAGTTCTCTCACTCTCTAGGCCTCAGTTTCTTCATATGTGAATAAAGATGATAATGTCTGTCCTACACTGGTGTTATGAATAAAGGATTAAGATATGAAATGTACAATACTTACCATATAATAGCTTATCAATATGTGTAATTATCTTCCTTCCTAAACATGCTCATCTTAAATATTTAAAAAGTAATTCACCTTGTGCCTGTGTCCTCCAACCATACTTCCCCGTGTTCCCTTCCTTCATGGTCACACCCCTTGTTCTCCTTTTCCTCACTTCACATGCACTCACACTCACTAATATGCGTATACGATACCCTCCCCACCCATGGCTCTGCTCCCACGAATGCCACCAACCACCTCTTTGTTGCTATCCAATTGCCCTTTTTAGTTCTTATCTCACTTGTTCTTTAACGTAACTAGAGGATTATACATACACACCTGCCTTCACTTCTTTAAGTCACTCCTACAAAATGGTGCAGAATTTCTTCCTCTAAATGTTAGCAGGGTACAAAATGCCCAAAGACTAAACTATGCTGTAAACATTTTAGCTATAACAATGGTGTGCTAAAACAAGAATAAAAATTCAAATACCTACAGTATACAAATCAGATTGGCACTTTGAAAAACAATTACTTGGGAATATTTTTGTTACTTTTACCTCAGTTACCTTACAACCTATTTTGAAGATGGCAGAAATTCATCAAGGAATACAGAATCAGCAAAACAGTGCAGATTGAGATATCAGAGGTGCAGTGAAGTCATGTAGATGTTTCACGAAAGAAGGTAAACAGTTACTTTCACTCCATTCATTTACTTGGTATATACATCCCATTATTTACCAGGCATTTGTGCAGCTGCTGCGGTTATAATGGTGAAAAAGACAAAGTCCTGCTTCGGGGAGGTTACATTTTCTGACGAGAAGGGAGAAGATAAAAAGTACAACTAGTCAGCCCTGGCTGGTGTAGCTCAGTGGATTAAAGGGTGGCAGGTTTCATTCCCAGCCAGGGCACAGGCCGGGGTTGTGGGCCATGTACCCAGTAGGGGGCATGCGAAAGGCAACCACACACTGATGTTTCTCTCCCTCTCTTTCTCTTCCCCACCTCTCTAAAAATAAATAAAGTCTTTTAAAAGAAGTACAAGTAGTTTAATAAGAGCGTTAGGTAGTGATATGTGTTATAAAGAACATACTGATAAAAAGCACCTGGAAGGACTATGAGTATGGATCTGGAGCTATCATGTCCGTGCACAAACCCGGGCTCTCCCACTCAGCAGGCGTATGATGCTATATTTATTTTTAGAGAGAGGGGACGGGAGGGAGAAAGAGAGGAAGAGAAACAATGATATGTGATCAGTTGCAATCCCCCAACCAGGGGCCTGGCCCACAGCCTAGGTATGTGTCCTGACTAGGGATTGAACCCGTGGCCTTTTGGCTTGTGGGAGGACACCCAACCCATTGAGGTGGCTATGGGTTTTCAAATACTGTTTTCCCCTCTAAGAAACTCACATGGAGCTAAGACCTAAATATCAGGAAGGAGTTCAAACTAATAGGGATAAATTAAAACAACTCTGGCCCAAATAAAGAAGAATTAGACTGAAATGCAGCTCTGTTCTTTGTATTTCCATGTCACACAGTAAAAGAAATATGTGAAGATTGGACCACAGCAGCACCTTTCGTCACCCGTCTTCACATTCATCCGAGCTTCCTTCACTTAGCTCCTCGCTGCTTTCTCCTTCACTCTCACCGCTGCTGTCCTCTTCACTATCTCTATCATCTTCCTCAACATTTGGAGACTTCTCTGCCACGGAAAAAGAGAAAATTGCTTGATATGTTTCTTAATATTTCCACCCTTTGAAAAGTTATAATTCTCCTTGCTTCCCCCTCCACCAAGAAATACATATTTTTGGAATAAGAGAACTGAGCTGAACTTTGTTAACTGTGTATGAGTTTAAATTAGTAGTACAAACAAAAACATCTTACTGGCATAAAGATGTTTGAGAATTTAAAGTAAACTTAAAACTAGGTCTGTGAAAATATTTTTATTATTGTGAATGTAATTCTTAAATAGAATAAGTAAATTCTTAATAGAATAGGATAATTTAGAGGGTACTGGCTTTCCCTGGAATTGTGGGATAGACCCTTAACACGGGACAATTAGCATGTTCTGTTCCCTCCGAAGACTGTGGTACACGTCCAGGAAGCCTGCTTTGTTTGGGCAGTTCCACCCCACAGAGGACAGGAAGTCATCTTGACCATCCACGAAGGAAAAGCTGGTTTCATTAAACCATCCAAGATAACCACTTAGGCTTTTCTTAACCACTTCCTGAGGATGTACTTTGCCAATCTCCTGGGATAATGGGTTTTTAAATAGTGACTGCTCATAGTTCTGTGAGAAAGAAGGAATTCCAATTTTTAAATTTACCCATCAGCAACATTTCTTCAATAAGTGACAAAAACTCCTTGGCCTCAGGGTTTTCTGGTTCATAAATTAGGACTGAAAATGAACAACAGAAGGTGTGTTATTAACGTTCAAAGTGTTTCAGCCAACAGGCTCCTCAGAATGAGGTTGAAACTGCCAATCAGAGTAAGTGAAAATGCACAAAGCAATAAACATCAACAATTATACCATGGGTATATTTAAGTGCAAAGAGAAAATGCTCTACTTACCTTAGGTACTTTGTAAGAGAAATCTCATTCTATTTTTCTCATTCTATTTTCTATCTCCTGTCCAAAGAATCAACCTGTCACTATGAGGCTTCCCTCACAGGCCTGAAACCAAGCTGTTTCATAACTAATTCCACAAACAAGGCACACATACGGCAAAATATGGACACTTTGCTACTAAGGATGTGTGCCTAGAGTCTGTTAATCCCTCATTCACCTCAGCCTCCCAAAGTCTGCATGACATCCTTTACTAAAGATCTCATGGGAACACCCTGAAGACAAAGGAACAGAGTTGGTTTTGTTTCATTTTTTGTTTTTGTTTTTTAGTGCAAGCTCTTCCAAAGTAGAGATGCCATTTCTAAAAACCCATCTTTCAAACAGGAAAACTGATGTTTCTTATCTTTCCTCCTTAAAACGTTTACCCCAGTTTGCACCCCGGTCATTGCCTCCCCTGTTCATCAGACCCATTGTTTTCCGCACTGTTTATTCCCTTTTGTTGGTCCTTTATGTGAATGTGTCTGTGAATGTGAATGTGTATGTGAATGTGAATGTGTCTGTGAATGTGAATGTGTCATCTTCCCTTTGGACTATACCAACAGATTTTTTTAAGCCTTGTTGGTGTGTTACCAGTGTCCTACAGAGGAGGATGATTTACACCTTTTGTTTGAGAGTTTTCTGGACTATTTTATTTTTTAGATCTCTCTCTACTGTCTTCCCGCCTACCTTGAGTAGTCAAAATTCTGCATCATCTATTTCATGCTGTGGCTCCTGTGCAATATCTCGATGGCACCCAGGGGGCACTGAAGCATCAAGTGTGCTATCGGCCTGGCTACCAGTGAGAGAACTGTGGATGGTCAGCCAGGCCGCCCCCACCTCTTCCCCGCCCCCAGGACCAGCCCCCATGGCTTTCGTCCTGACACACCAAACCAGTGTCTTTATTTCCTAATCCACTACCACAATGCTCTACCAATCTGCGATAGCAGGCTGTACACATGCTCACAGCTGCTTCTGAGGATCCCACAGGTATTTATACATCTTTTAAGGTTTCTAATAAAAGTAACTTTTTATACATTTTAACTTGGAGTAAATCTTTCTCTGAGGCTAACCTTCTTTCTAGAGAGGGGGTTCTCCAACTCGCTCCTTGAGAGACTAGTTCCTTAAGATGTGAATACATACTTGGAAAACTAGGTTAAATAAAATTAACCAGGGAACAGTTACAGTAAGAGGCAGTTGAAGGATTTTATGAAACATAAACATGCTCATAACTATTTTGAATCTTAGAGAAGCAAATGTGGTTTCCCCAATTTATTATTCCTATGGGATCCTTTTTGGTAGGACATTTATTAATATTATTAATTTTCTAGTAACACACTTTAGAAAATTTCTTATTGCAATTAGGATTATTCCATGGGGTTAGAGTATGACACCAGGTACTCGCGTGGTTTAACAAAAACCGCTGGCAGCTGTTAATTTTCACAGTGAGAGAAAGGTGTCTGCATTGAAGCTTAGCCCAGCAGTATCCATTCCAGGTGATGAATCGAACATTCTTCTTACTCTTGGACAAGTTAGTAGAGTTTGAAAAAAAAGTAAGAGAAGCTTCTAGCACATGTAGATGGTATTCTGGGGGCTGTTTCCCAACCTGGGCAAATAAGCAGGGCCCAGTGTGGGCCATGAAGAATGTCAGATGTGAATCCAGGTTCTGCCACTGTCTAGCTGTGTTACCTTGCAAAAAGTATTTAAAATCTTGCATTGCAGTTCTTTCATCTGTAGTAATACTATTGGCCCCCCTGGGCTACTTTAATGAATCAATGAGATAATGTAGATTAAGTATTTAGTCCAGACCTTGGTGCACGATAAGTGTTGGACAAATGTTGATTATAATTTATTAGTTTTCCTGGAATGGTCTGGGCCTAGGGAAAGACTTGGTTCCTTCCTAAGAATTCAATGGATACTTTCTTCTGGCTGAAGCTAGGGCAGGGAGCCGGGGGTTCTGCTGCCCGTGGGGTTCTAAGTCTCTCAGGCCACAGGCTGTTCTAGGGTCGAATGTTGGTCTTGTTCACTGTTTACATCCCTACAGTTCCCAGAACAGAGCTGTAGCCCTCAAAACACTAATAAATGAAATAAATGAATAGAGACAACTGAATAGAAAGCAGTCCTTTTTTGCCTAGATAAAATGATATCTAGGCTAATAGGACAGAATGATTTATTTTCTACTGAAAAAGAAAAAAAGTTATAGGAACTATGTTTTCTGAAAATACATCTGTATTTGTGTTAGACTGACAATGATGAGAGCCATTGTGGTTTTCAGGCCACTTTCCTTGAACATTTACAGGCATCGCAGCAGATGGAACAGGTGCTCCAGGCTGACAGAACCCAGGGCTGCCTGGGAGCCGAAGTGTGGTGCCGAGAAGACCGAGCTGCAGACCCCTTCTTACAGGTGCAAAGACCAAGCAATAGGAAGACTGGCACAAAATCTCACAGTCATTCAAGAGATGAACTAAGATAAGTGCCTGGGACTCTTGACTTTCAGCTCCACTTAAAAATCACATTTCCAGGCTGCCGCTAATGCCTGGCAGGAAATGGCAGGAGCAGAGATACCAGTTCTGCATGAGACAGCAGAAAAATGGCTGAAGAAATATTAGGACCACATAAAAACTCAGTGTGGACGACATAAAATTCAAGCCTTCACCAACAGGTAAAATTTCTTGGGGGGAATGCAATACAAATTTTTCAAAGGCAGGACAGAAAAAGAACCCATGGGTGCGTGGGATGCCAGACCGGAAGCCCTGCAGCCAAACAAGATGTAAATGACTGCTGAAATCAGACAAGAAGAAAACACGCCAGGAGCCCGAGGCTTTGTTCAAGAAAATAAATTTGTAAAACATTTCTGAAGGGACAAGCTGCATTATTTCATATAAATTATTTCACACAATAAGTACATTTACTAATAAAATAAATATATTAGTCAACCATAAGAGCCATTTTAAACCTGATTGGTCCATAACAGTGTCTCTTTTCCAAGTCTTTGCCTATTTGACCAGAAATACAAGCTTATTAATAAAATGAGAAAGTGGAAATATAGTAGGAAATCACGGGCTTTCAACCCAGACCTGGGATCTCAACCAAACTTTACCACTCAGCAGCTGTGTGCCTTTGTGTGACCTAGTTCTCTTTGCTAGCCTCAGTTTCCTCATCTGTAAAGAAGGTTTAATAATACCAGCCTCACAGAAGTATTTGAAGAATTAAACAATGTAATATGAATGCTTCCCTAGTGGATGCTCAATCCATACATACATAAATATGTAAATACATAATCTATGTTTACATACATAAATATATAAATATCTAGAGAGAGAAAGGGGGAATGTCTAGAAAAGAGCTAGAAGCAGGAAAAAGGAGACAAAAGACTAACACTGTAAAACTGTACATTATATTTTGAGATCCATGCTACATGAAAAATTCCATTTGTCTGTTACTGTGAACACAGAGAGGGACTTTGGCAGCCCTCAGCCAAGTGTTCCTTTGGCACCGCAGCACTGGTACTTCCTTCTCCCTGAGGCAGAGTCTGCCTTCAGCTCTCCTTCTCCCTTGAACTTGCTTGGTGTTGCTAAACCTGGGCCTCTGTACCTTCATATCAACAGCTACTTCCTGCCCCAAACCCCCACCTCTGGGCCTCTTTCCCGTGTTTCCACCAGCCTCTTCTTTCTTTTGGGAGCAGTATTCTTTCCCAACTTGCTCCCTGGACCATGGTGCCTATGTTAAGGCCCTCCATAACTCCTTTTTCTAAAGCCTAGTCCTTAGTTTTAGAGGCCCATATTTTGACATAGAAAAATAGTGCACAGTGTTACTAGATGAGCCAGTAGAGGTGAAAACCAAACCAAATCTTGTCTATGTCAATCCCAAAGGGTTTTGAGCATGTGGGCTCTAATTTCTGCTTTCTTTGTAACTCCTGGCATAACTTCTGGTACAGATATGGTGGTTAGTATGTATTTGTTGGAAGGAAGATGGGAGTGAGTAACTTTAAAGGGGTATAACCCCATTAAGATAGATCATTTTGACTTTTCATCCCCATTCACCTGGCACTTAATGTGTATTCACTGGCTGGAGTCAGGTCAATAAGCATTTTATTAAGCACCTGCTGTTTATGCATCACACTGCAGGGCTGACAGCCAAAACTGACCGAGAGATGGGATTATCAGTGCATATATTTTGTAAGCCTCAGCCAGAGGCCTTCTAAAACTAATTGATGAATACTGAAAGATGCTATATAAATTTTCCCACAACTAGGCTCCACAGGAAACTCAGAGAACCAGGAGCTAGAGCTACAGTCCCTCACTTCTACCCTAGCCCCACAAAGAAAGGGGTTGTGGGGGGAAGAGGCTTGTGTTCCAGGCCATGACACCCACTCCCTGAGTGGGGCTGATGAGGCTGCTTAACCTCTCTCTGCTTCGGTTTCATTATTTATAAGAATAGAGGATAAATCCTTAGATGATTTATTCTAAGGATTCCTTCTGATCAAAAATTCTATGTATGGGCCACCAAAAATAGTTTTGAACAAAATATTTTATTTAGTGGCTTGTCCAAAGTGTAGGATAAAATAGGTAGTATTAAAGCATTCAAGAAACCCATTTTAAAAATTAGCCAGTGAGCCCTGGCTGGGTGGCTCAGCTGGCTGGAGCATCATTCCATACACCAAACGGTTTCAGGTTTGAACCCTGGCCAGGACACATACCTAGGTTGCAGGGTCCCTATCTCTGGTTGGGAATGTAGGAGAGGCAACCAGTTGATGTTTCTCTCCTCTCCTTCTCGCTCTAAAAATCAACAAACATTTTCTCAGGTGAGAATTTTTTTAAAAATTGCCAATGATTTCAGAAGTACTGTATCTATAGTGGGGACTCTGTGAGGCAAAAGCGAGTAGATGCTCACAATTCCTATACTACATATTCAGTTCATGGACTTTTACCATGAGACTGCAGTTTAACACCAGTTAATATTTTGAGTCCTGTTATTAATAAAGTTTATTGGAGAGTTGCCATTTCATTTTGAAAATTACTGAGACGTATTAGAGAAAAAGACAGGTAAAATAGTTGAAAACATTGTGGACTTCAACTGAGAGTGGGAATCTTTCAAAGTTGTGTAATGGACTTTCTAAAACTGAAAAATACAATCTTTGAAATTAAGAATTCAATGGATAGCAGTAAAAAAAAAAAACCTCACCGGATAGTTTTAACAGGCAATGAGACACAGCAGAGGATAGGATAAGTCAACTCAAGTACATACAAATAGAAACTATCCCAACTGAAGCAGAGAAATAATAAAAAAAGGAAAAAACCCAATACTGACTATCAGATATACATGGGACACCATGAAAAAAAGTCTAGTTTATGTGTAACTGAAGATCCAGGAAGAAAAGAGAGAAAGAGAATGGGGTACAAGTGACATTTGAAAAGGTAATGGCCAATAATTGTTTGAAGTTGATGAAAACAACAACCCACAGAATTAAGAAACCCTGCAAACCTCTCAAATCTCCCTTTGTATAAAGACAAAGAAAATCACAAGTATGTTGAACATCAGGTCAAACCACTATAAGTCAAAGATAGAAAGGAAATCAGTAGGATTATATTCTTCTACTCAAAAGCATCCAGCAGTTTCCCACTCAGAAACTCTAAGTGAAGACCCTTAAAGTGTGGAAAGGTGCAACGCAATCTGCACAACCCCAACTCAAAACCTGTGACCTCATGTCCTATCACACTTCCCATCGCTTATTCTGCTCCAATTACACTGCTGTCCTTGTTCATCAGGCACACTCTCATCTCAGCATATTTGCTATTAGTCCTCCCTGGAACTCACTTCTCCCAGATACCCACCTGCCTAGTTCCTCAACCTCAAGTCTTTGCTCAAGTCTTTTCATGAGGCTTCTGGGACCATCTTACCTGAAGTGCTTTGCCTCCTCCCAGTAATTCCTATTCTTTCTTTCCTACTTTATTTCCCCAAATAGCACCTATCTCTATATATGTTTATTATCTGTCTGACACTAGATATAAAGGCAGAATCATTATGTCTTGTTGGCTGCTGTATTTCCAGTGTCTAGAACAGTGCCCGACACATTTAGGCACTCAAATACCTTTGGAACAACTGCATGTTAAGTAAGGGTTGTTGCACGACCTGACACGTCTCTAAAACTAAAGGCACAGATCCTTATCATAAAGGTAAGGATTTTGACTTACCTTCATGGTAATTAGTGGTAATTAATTAGTCTCTTTCACTTGATTTCACTCAAAGTTAGTCTAGAAGTCTAAATTTGTCCTTATACTAATCAACCTAATTTACTTTCAAGAAATCACTGGGACACTATCAGGGAAATTCACTGGAGTTATGAACACCAAACCATCTTGTATACTATGGAATGTACTTAGAAACAAAGAGAAGATTGGAAAACAAAGTATTTTGTACTTACTCATCTGACATAATTTTTTAGCCAAACGGTAGTCTTGGCACATTTCTGCTCTTAAGAACTGGAAAACATTAAAACATAAAATTTTACAGAGAATTTAAGTGTCAATTATAAACTTTCAAGAAAATATTACATTCATGATTATTTTGCTTTTAACATTACACATATTTTTCCAGGAATGAATCTGTCAATCTCAATTCAGAATATTTAAGGACTTTTCATGGCAAGGCAACATATATGATATTTCTACTTTGCTGCTGCCACACGATATATATACTATGGAACAAGTTAAGAATACATAGGTTGATTCAACTGGCAGAGATGGTGAAGACATTAGCCATTTTAATATACTTTTGATTCAGATTCAGTTCTATGTGTGAGCCTCATCCATAATTACCCGATAATACTTAGTTAAAAATGTAGATTTACAATTTACATATGTATGTTCACTATTTTCCAGTATTACTCTCATACCATCCTTTTACAATTTACATATGTATATTCATATTTTCCAGTATTGCTCTCATACCATCCTTTTACTATTCCTCTTACATTTTTCTTATACAAAGTAATACATGTCTTTGTACATAGAAAATTTAAAAGCTAAATAGCTCTGTCCTGAATTTAAAGGGCTCTGTATGTCCACTATCCAGACATGTTTATTATTACATCTTCATGTACAGTTTCCATAAATGACCACATATATATACAAAAACTAGGATTGTTCAGTAACATTTTTAAAAATAAAAATCGTGTTCATGTTTACATATCATAATTTTCTCCCATGGAATTAACTATCCTTATATATATTTCTTTATCTAGGCTGCAGTTTACCAAACTAATATTTTATTATTTAAACTATGATTCCATTGCAAAAATTAGCCTACATTTAGATGATTGTTTTTGCTTGTGTGACATATTCTGAAACATATGTAGAGACACTAGTTCCATATGTGTATTCTCCAAGAGACATGAGCAGTGGGTCATATACAACAACAACAAAAAAAACAAACAAACAACACTTCTCACACATTTCCAGATATTTGATAAACACCCAGGGGCCATTTTAAAAAGCAGTTCCTTACCAGCTTTCTAAACTTTTCACATGGGTATTAGATTACTTAGTTTTCTAATGTAAATAAAACTCTTCTAGAGATATTTCTGTAAATAATTAATTTCATCACAATTCTCATTTATTCACACATTAATAATTCTCTTGTATTTAAAAAATATATTCTTGTCTAAGGTTAATTCTTATTTGTAGATTTCTTCCATTTAATTATCTCTGATTGATCTACATCATTTTTCAAATATCTAACTTAAACTGATATATTAATTTGATTTTATGTTGAATTATTAATTTGTTCCTTTAATTCTTTGTACTTTCCTTATGCTTATTTTACTCTTCTGGTTTCTGGCACTAATATTACATCCATTAACTGTTATTCTTTCTTGAATCATCATCATCATCAAAGCATTTGAAATTAAACACTTTTTAAATGTTTTCTTATTTAGTGTTATGGTTATAACTACTTTCTAAATAAGTTATAAGTTTAGATTTTTATTTTTAATTCATGAGTTACCTAGAAGACTATCTTTTAGCTTTAAGTAATTTTGTTAGTTCACTTATTATCTTTATATCTTTAAAGTTTTTATGGAAAATTTAAATTTAAACATGAGAAAATTGTAAAAGAAATACATGCCCCCAGTTCTCACCTTTAAAAATTAACATTTTACCAATCTGGTTTTATCAATATCACCACAAACTTTTGCCCCCTCTGCCTAGACTATTTAAAACCAGTTTATATATATGTCACCTCATTTTACTTTAAATTAAAAACCCAATCACATTATTGCTATCACACCTAACAAAATTAACAAGAATTTCTTAACATCAACTAGTATCTAGTCTTTTAAATGAAGTATTATATTAATAATACTAATCTCCTAAAATGAAATGGTGCATAGAATCCATTTCAAAGGCTCCTGCACACTGACCTATTTTTTATTTGCATTGATCTATTTTATGTTGTTAACATAAAATATATTTTCTCTCAATAGTTGAAAAGCCAGTGAAATTAAGCAGTTTGCACAATGGATATTTGACTAAAGACTTTCATGAAAATTACTTAAGGCTTCAAAATTAAGCTGAAGGCAAGTCTTTTAAAAATTGGTGTTGTATTAAATTACTTGTGACATCCAAAATAATGCTCAAAAACTAAACTCAAAACGTGAATTTCGACAGGATCTTGACTGGAAAATAATTCAGTTATAAGTCATTTTAAAGACAAATTGGGAAGTCTCAATTTTAGCATACTGTATTACAAAACTGTTGTTAATTTTCTTAGATGTGATAAGGGTATGATGTTACTTTAAAGAATGAACTTATGAGACCCATGCTCAAATTTTAGGGGTGAAGTTTTATGATGTCTGCAACTCACTTTCAAATGTTCCTTCTACTTCCACTTTGCTGAGAGTTTTTATCATAAATGGGTGCTGGATTTTATCAAATTCTTCTATATCTCCTGTTATGATCATGTGGTTTTTATTTTTCATTTGGTCGGGAATCATTTATTTTTTGTGAATATTGTGCTTACCTTGCATCACAATGAATCTCAGTTAATCATGGTATATGATCTCTTTGATGTATTGCTGTATTCAATTTTAATATTTTTTAAAGATTTAATTATTATTTTTTTTAGAGAGAAGGGAAGGAAGAAAGAGGAGAAACATCAATGTGTGGATGCCTTTCATGGGACCCTTACTGGGCACCTGGACCCCAATCCAGGCATGTGCCCTGACTGGGGACTGAACTGGCACCATTTGGTTTGCAGGCTGGTGCTCAATCCACTGAGCCACACCAGCCAGGGCAGACCCAGCTCTTGAATTCATTGATTTTTTTGTATTTTTTTTTTAGACTGTATGTCATTTATTTCTCTTCTGATCTTTATTAATTCCTTCCTTCTGCTCACTTTAGGCTTTGTTTGTTGTTGTTTTTCAAGATTGTTTAAGTGTAAAGTTAGATTTTTTGTTGTCTTTTTGCTTTTTTAAAATATTTTTTTATATAACCATTGTCCAACTCTTTTTCCCATTTGACACCTCCACTTAGTACCACACATTCCCTTTGGCTTCCTCCTCTCCTTGCTTAGTTCATGTCCATAGGTAATGGATATGTTCTTCTTTTTTTAAGGTTTTATTTATTTGTAGACAGAGGGGAAGGAAAGGAGAAAGAAGGAGAGAAACATCCATGTGTGGTTGCCTCTTGTGTCCCCATAATGGGGACCTGGCCCAAAACCCAGGCATGTGCTTTGACTGGGAACAGAACCCACAACCCTTTGGTTTGCAGGCCAATACTCAATCCACTGAGCCATGCCAGCCAAGGCTGCATATGAATTCTTTAGCTACTCCATTTCCCGTACTGTTCTTAACATCATTGTCTATTCTGTACCTACCAATTGGTTCTTCTTAATCCCTGCATCTTTCCCCCCATCTTCCCCTTCCCCTCCTAATTGATAACCCTCCAAATGATCTCCATATTTATGTTTAGGTTTCATTTTTGCTTGTTTGCTTAGTTTTTTAGATTAAATTGTTAACAATTTTGAGCTGATTACCATTTTAATGTTCATAGTTTTTATCTTCTTTTTCTTAAATAAGTCCCTTTAACCTTTCATATAAAAATGGCTTGGTGACGATGAACTCCTTTAACTTTACTTTGTCTAGGAAGCACTTTATTTGTCCTTCAATTCTAAATGATAGCTTTGCTGGACAGAGTAATCTGGGTTGTAGGTCCTTGCTTTTCATTACTTTGAATACTTCTTGTCAGTCCCTTCTAGCCTGCAAATTTTTTTTGAGAAATCAGCTGACAGTCTTATGGGAACTCCTTTACAGGTAACTCTGCTTTTCTCTTGCTGCTGTTAAGATTCTTTATCTTTAACCTTCGATGTTTTAATTATGATGTGTCTTGGTGTGATTCTCTTTGTGTCCATATCATTTGGGACTTTCTGTGCTTCCTGGACTTCTATTTCCTTCACCAAATTAGGAGTTTTCTTTCATTATTTTTTTAAAATACATTTAAAATTTCTTGCTCTTTTTCTTCTTCTTCTGGCACCCCAATGGTTTGAATGTTGGTATGTTTGAAGTTGTCCCAGGGGCTCCTTAGCCTATCCTTATTTCTTTTTCTTTTTTTGTATTCTTTTCTCTTCTTGTTCTTCTGATTGAATGTTTTGTATCTGCCTTGTGTTCTATATCATTGATTTGATTTCTCAGCTTCATCCACTCCACTGTTGATTCCCTGTACTTAATGTAACCTTCATTTCTCCCTGCGTCTTTTTTATGCTGTTGAAGTACCTAATGAGTTCCTTTAGCATCCTATGTTTCTTTACTCTGCTTCTGATAGATTGCTTATCTCCATTTTGTTTGTTTTTCTGGAGTTCTGTTCTGTTCTTTAATTTGGGCCATGTTTCTTTATCTCTTCATTTTGGCAGCCTCCCTGTGTTTTTTTCTTTGTATTAGGCAAAGCTGCTTTGGTTCCATCTTAGGAATGTGGCCTACTGTAGAAAAGTGCACCCATAACTTGGATGGGGTGGAGCCTTAGGTAATCTTAGTTGGTCAACCATATGAACGAGGGTGATGGAGTCTCAGATATGATGTCATGCTCTGTGGCTCTGTGTGGTGAAGGGCTCAGAAAAGGGACAAGGGCTGCTGCCTGGCCTCTGGAGTTTTGTCCTGGAGAAAGCTGTCCCTTGGCACTAGCCCTGATGCCAGACACTTCTGTTTCTTCCCATATGACACTGGAGTGCACAGGGAGTGAGTCTGTGCAATTCTAATATGGTTGTGGGCCCTTTAAGTGACGCCTGAGAATTCCACAGATTCTTCTGACCCCCTCCAATCCCACTATTTTTTGCAACCAAAAGTTATGGAGACTTAGCTTCCTGGCACTGGAACCCCTGGCCTGGGTGGTCTGGTGTGGGAGGGGATCCCTCCCTCCTAAGGTATCCCTCCTGATTTTTATCTACCACAGGTTAAGTGTGGGACTGCCCTTTCCATGTCTCCAGGTCTCCATTCCTCCTACCCATATTTAAGACTGTGACTTCTTTAAGTTTTTAGTTATGTCTTCCATACAGGTTGGTTTTCTGATGATTCTGGGTAATAGTTGTTTTGTATTTAGTTGTAACTTTTTTGTGGTTGTGTTAAGTGGCAAGCTGTTTACTTATGCCTCCATCTTGACTAGGTAAAGTTAGATTGTTTTTGAGCTTTTTCTTGTTTGTTTGGATAGGCTTGTAATGCTATGAATTTCCTTCTTAGGATTGCTGTCCCTGTGTCCCACAAATTTTGGATTGTTGTGTCTCATTCTCAATTGTTTCAAGGTATCTTTTGAGTTCTTCTTTTACCTTGTTGACCAATTAATTGTCTAAAATCATGTTATTTAGCTTCCATCCTTGTGTATTTTTCAGTGTTCTTTTGATTGATTTCTAGTTTCTTAGCACTGTGGTCAGAGAAGATGCTTAGACTTCTCTTTGAAGTCTAATTTTGAAGTCTATTGAAGTTTATGATTTCAATCTTGTTAAATTTACTGAGACATGTTCTGTGTCCTAACATGTGATCTATCCTAGAAAACATTTCATGTGCACTTGAAAAGTAAGTATATTCTGCTACTTTGGGATGAAATACCCTGAAGATATCAATTAAATCCATCTAATCTAGTGTGTTGTTTAAGGCACACCATCTCCTTGTTGAGTTTGTCTGGAAGATCTATCCATTGATGCAATTTAGTGTTAAAATCCCCTGCTATGACTGCATTTCTCTTGATCACTCCTCTTATGTCCATCAAGATTTGTGTTACATATTTAGGTTCTCCTGTGTTGGGTGCATAAATGTTTACTAGGGTTGTATCCTCTTGTTGGATTGTTCCCTTTATCATTTAGTGTCCTTCTGTGTCTCTTACTATAGCTTGGGTTTTAAAGTCTATTTTGTTGGATATAAGTATTGCTTCCCCAGCACTTTTTTTCCCCTTTCCATATTTCCATGAAATATCTTTTTCCATACCTTTACTTTTAGTCTGTATCTTTCGAGATGAGGTAGATCTCTTAAAGACAGCATATATATGAATCTTGTTTTCTTATCCAAAAAGGCTACCCTTTTTGTTGGAGCATTTAAACCATTTACATTTAAGGTGATTATTGATAAATATGTATTTATTACCATCTTTAAACTATTTTCCTCTACTTCTTCTTAAAGAAAGCCCTTTAACATCTGTTGCAGTACTAGTTTGGTATTAACAAACTCCTTTAGTTTTTTTGGGGGGAAGCTCTTTATTTCTCCTTGAATTTCAAATGATAGCCTTGTTGGGTGAAGTAGCCTTGGTTTGTAGATTCTTGTTTTTCATCACCTTGAATATTTCATGCCAATCCTTTCTTGCCTGAAATATCTCTTGAGAAATCACATGACATCTAATTGGAACTCCCTTGTATGTAAGTCCCAGCTTTGCTCATGGTGCTTTTAGGATCCTCTTCTTCTCTTTTAAACTTTGCCATTTTAATTATGACATGTCTTGGTACAGTCCTGTTTGGGTCCATCTTGTTTGGGACTCTATATTTCTTGGATTTGTATGTCTTTTTTTTTTTTTTTATCATATCAGGGAAGTTTTCAGTCGTTGTTTATTTGAATTTTTGATCCCTTGCTCACTCCTTTTTTCTTGTATTCCCATGATGTCAATGTTGTTATGCTTCATGTTGTCCTAAAGGATTCTTAAGTGTTCTTCATTTTTTAAAATTTTCTTTTTGTTGCTCTGCTCAGGAATTTTCTACCTTGTCTTCTAAACCAGTGATTCAATCCCCTGTTTCATCTAACCTACTGTTTATTCCTTCCAGTGTATTATTTATTTCAGATACTGTGTTTTTTAGTTTTGACTAGTCATTCTTTTATTATTTCTGGTATCTTTTTCATGCTTTTGAGTATCCTTATAATCATTACTTTAAACTCTATATCTAATAAATTGCTTGCCTCCATTTTATTCAGTTCTTCAGGAGGATTCTCTTGTTCTTTCATATGGGGTCTATTTCTTTGTCTTCCATTTTGGCTGTTTGTTGTTTATTTCTATGTATTAGGTAGATCCACAAAGACTCTGGTGTAGACCTATGTCAGACACTGCATGTGACTGGCCCTGAGCAATCTGTTTGTATCTATCAGTGACCCAGAGTGTGTGGGTCCCTCTGCTGTGCCTATTTGTGTGCAGAAAGATGGGATGGCTTTTACAAGCACCCAGCCCAGCTAAAGTCTCAGAGCTTCAAGAGATCTGCTTTAGTTGTTAAACTTAATCACTGAGATAACCTCCGGGTATACTCCTCAGCTGCCCAGCTTAAGTACCACAGGGCAGGAGAAGTAATTCCTATGTGCAGGGCTTCTGCTTCCACTCAGGCTGATGTCACTTGGAGGGGAGTGCTCTGCCTGGGAAAGGTGGCCTCTGCAGTACAGGGACTGACCCAGCACAGGGATCCTGGCAGGTGTTCCTTCAGTTCTCTCCCCAGAGCCACCATCCCCAGACTCTCCTCACATGTCTCTAGTTCATTCTGCCCTCCTTCTGCTGGAGTCCAGGTTAAGAGGCTGCAAATGGAATTTTGTGTGTTGGTCCTCTGATAGTCTCCAGCCATCAATCACTGGTGGACAGAAACTCTACTGCTTTTCATGGTTGGAGGTTATCTGGGTTCCTTTCCTGACACTGTTGCTATAGGTTGGGGAGCCCAGCTTCTGGTTTGGACTCAAAACTTCTTAGGGGCAACCCCCTAGCCACTGAAATATCCTTCTAGAACTTTAGTTACTGTCTGTAGGAGCCCAGTCATCCCTTTTGCTCCTCCTCCACATTTCCTACCAGCATTGTTGCAGTGAACTGGTTTCTTCTGTCTGCCCGTTCAATTCTGTCTAGTGTTCAATTGGTTATTTAGGATGATTTCTCTACAATTTAGTTGTTTTTCCGGTTTGGTCCTGGGAGGAGGTTTGTGCAACTTCCACTTAATTCTCTGCCATCTTGGATTTCCAGACACCTTTTTTGAAACTATTTGACAACATAGCAACCTTTCAAATATAGGAAATAACCTGGCAACCTAGAACTCTCCAGCTAACACATCCTTAAAAGAAGGTGAAATTTAGACTTTTTCAAACAAAGATGAGATAATTCACAGCCAACAGAACCGAACTACAAAATATACTAAAGGAGTTTTCCAGGTAAAAGGAAAATAGTATCAGGTGATAAGTTGGATCCTCACGAAACTATAAAGAACACCAGAAATATGTTCCAAAAAACATACCTTCCAATTAAAAAAATCTCACAGGGGTGTCCAACCTGCATCCTGTGGGCCGCAAACATCCCAGGATGGCTATAAATGCAACCCAACACAAAACTGTAAATTCACTTAAAACATTATGACATTTTTTTGTGATTATGTGTCACAATGTATTTGATGTGTGGCCCATGACAACTCTTCTTCCACTGTGGTCCAGAGATGCCAAGAGGTTGAAAACCCCTGTGATACTTATTTAAAACAAAAAGAAAGTATTGTGAAGCTTGTAACATATGTAGAAGTTAAATGTATGACAACAATAATACAAAGGATGAGAAGGGGAAATGAAAATGTACTATGACGGAGTTTGTACAATATACATGAAGTTGTGTAATTTTACCTATAGACTGCGATAGGTGAGGTAAAACAGTTTTGTTCTCCACAGATTATCAGTAAATTTCTGATAATCTATGATAATTTCTGATACATGACGTTGTGTAATTTTAAGTAAAGACTGCGATAGATGAGGTAAAACAGTTTTGTTCTCCACAGATTATCAGTAAATGTTTATGTATAATTTCTGCACGTGACATTGAAGGCTTCAATGCCATTGCACATGCTGGTTCCTGTCAGGAATGCCATCAACTCTGGTTACCAGATGAATGTCTACCCTTTCCTCTTCCTGTAAGTTTCTAAAACTTTTATCCTGTTTCTCTGGTTTTTCTTAATTACTCACTTAATCCTCCCTGTTCCCAGAGAACTTCATAAATACTGCAACTAGCACATATTTCATTTTATTACAAATTGTTATATATAAATAACATATGTCTATTAGTTCTCAAAGGTAGGACATGTCTTTCTTATTTATTTCTATATATTCCCAGTGACTAGCATGGTGCCCGTGCTTTGTGTGGAAAGCATTCCTTTAAACAGTCCTTGAAGGCTTTGGTACCAAAGCCTCTCTTATTCCTGCTTCTGCCTGTTCCAGACTCCTGTGAGTCACTTGCAGAATCTCCTCTCACACCTACCTTGGTCAAAGTCATGAGAGGGATGAGTAGCCTGGTAAGCATCTGGACATGGGCAAGGATCTTTTTACCATTTTTTTAAACTTCAAGGTTATATACTATTATTTTAATATTTTTACATTTCTAAAATTAAAATGTACAGGTAAAGCTTACTTCTGCCATTAATTCTAATGGGGCATGAGTATCACTAATTGGGTTACTGTCTTCATTATCTTCATCACTGGTGTCATCTTCACCATCATCATCATCATCTGTTGATTCAGACAATTTATCATCTATATCCCGAAGGCAATATTCATTATTTTTCTCATGCTTTGCAATGACTTCATCTTTGCCCACTTCACCTAAAACAAAGTACAAAATTAATCAGTAAATGTTTATATAAGTTCAGAAAATTTAAATTGTTACTCCCAATTTATAATGTAATTAGTGTACATGTTTCCTATATAGCTTCCTGTTCTGGAGTTTTGTTTTGTTTTTCATGACTAAACAGCACTGATTTCCATTTTCAAAAAAAGGTAATAAAACTGTCAGGTGAAAGAGGAAACAACTCATACTACTATCATTGGGCTGATATTAATGTTGTTTGGTGCTTGAAATTTTAATAAATGGAAAAGTCTTAATTATAATTTCAAGAAAAAAGAAATTAATGCTATCCTAGCTCCAGAAATATATTTCCTAAATTGTTCTTATAGGAAGGTAAATACCAAATAAAGAGCTTAGAGAACAAAAGACTGGAGAGGCTAAGAAGCAAATGATCCTTATGTCAGTCATGTCACTCTTGGATACTTGAGAATAAAGTTCTTTTTCTCTCAATACACACACATGCAAACTAGGTAAAAACACACGTGGAGTATTGTAAATATAACATTACTAATGATTTCCCTTAATGTCAAGTCACAGTACCTATGACTAACATAGATGACTGAAAAAAGAAAAATTCAGCAACACTGACCGACGACCCATGCAGTACCTAGCACTATGCCGAGTCCCAGGAACACAATAACGAATAGTCCTTGATCTTGGAGTACTTGCAACTTTAACTGAAGAGTCATAAACAAAATGGATAATTATAAACCAGTATGGAAGGGCAGTGATGAAGGTGTGTCCTAGGTAAACAGGAGAGCAAAGGGGGCTGTATCCCAGTCTGGAGCGTGGTCAGGAACTGTCCAGTCTGAGTGGACTAGTCTTTCTAGGGAGAGGGGACAGTGTGGGCCAATGCAGAAGCAAGAATATGTATGGACTATAGCACTTTGATGATGCTTTAGGGTCAAGGTTGAAGCTGAAATGGTGACACATGTGGCTGGAAGTGTGGGTAGGAACAAGACGAATAATATAGTCTTGTGGGCTGGAAACCTTGGGGTTTATCTTAAGAATGAAGGGGCTACTAATACAAGATTTTATGTAAGAAAACAAATATGATCAATTTTGCATTTCTGAAGAAAAATCTGGATAGCAGGGTGAAAAGCCTATTTGAGGGGAGACAAAAAAAAAAGATTATAGTTCTCTTTTAAATATCCCGGTAAGAGAGATGATAGGGTACTGGTAAAACAGAGATGGAGAGAAAGTGACAGAGAAATATTTAAGAGATAATCTCCATGGTACAACCTATTAGAACATTTTCCAAACTTTAGTAATTCTTATGCCTTCAGCCGTTTTGCCATGTGAGTGCCACCTATACTAATTACTTAACATTTTTCTTTGAATCTACTTTTTTAACATAAATTTTGTCAATCATAAATACCATCCTCCATGAAACTGATGTATTAATAAAAATAACATCACAATCATAACACATTAAATGCCATTGCTCTTCTGAACACTGTATCTATTAATTCATTTAATTCTCTCAACATCCCACGGAGGTGTGTTTTGCTTTTACCCCATTCCTAGAAGAAACAGAGAGACTGAGAGGTTATAATCTGCCCAACTTCACACTGCTAATGAAGTGGTGCACTGGGGAGTCAGTTTGGCTCCAGAGTCCATATTCTTCACCACATCTTATATTACTTTTTTTCTACTCAAAACATGCTACTATTAAAGTAATCCTTTAAAAAGTTTACTACATGTTTCCTAAACTTATCTCTTTGGGAAACAATACTGAATGAGCATACAGGACTCCGTTGGCCCCACGGATATCTCTGCTTGAAACTAACTTGTGCTACACCGTCCTTTTCTTGTAAGATTTTGAGTATCGGGGAAGTTTTGTGAGATGCCTTCTTTAATGGGAGAGTGGCCAGGAGCTACTCTAAATAATGTAGAAACACCTGCATTAGAAGAAAATGAGCAAGTCTAGAAGAGCTCTAGAGAAAACAATGTTAAGAGAACACAGACCAAAAGAATTAAAAAATTGGTAAAACTCTTGAACCTAAAGCAAATTCATGACTCTAAAAAGAAAAAAAACCCCTGCTTCCCTGAAAAGGGATACCAAGTCCTTCCCAGATAAGACGGTTGGGCCATGTGAGCCATCTACCTGCGTCTGTTTCCTTTACAGTCTCCATCAGCTCACAGCCACTCACTCTGATCTTCCAGTGTGGACCCAGCCTATTCACTGGCTCATCACACTGAGGTCATCAGGGGAAGGGCATTAGGTGATGTCACAGAAATTGTTAATTCACAAACACAGAGCTTCATGAGAGATTTCCTCATCCCTAGATCTAAGGCAGTCCTCTCCCAGGTGCCATTTAGTAACATTATAACACCTATCACAACCTATATTGTATTGCTTTTTTGTTTGTATTTACTTTATATTATTTGTTTACTTATTTATAATAGTTGGTTGTCCATCTCCCACTAGAATGTGAACGTCAGAAGGGCAAGAACCTTGCCTATTTGCTAACTATTGTATCCAGTGCCTGGCACTCAATAAACTGCTGTTGAAAGAACAGAACTTGTTAATGTTTTCATTTGGTATTTTAATTCATTCTAAAATTTAATGCTCTATTATTATCATTTCATGTAATTTTTTCCCACAGGGCCTACACCTGACTGCATATCAAAACCATCTGGTACGTGAATTAGAAAAAGTACCAATTCCCAGGATCCTCTCCAGATCTACAGCGTTGTTAAAAACTCCAAAGGCTCTGGTGAAAGAGGGCTGAATTGGAAGCAACAAACAAAAAGACAAAACCAAGAGTTATTACCTGTGCTTTCTTTTAAGAAGGAAGATGACCATAGCTTAGACTGTAGATTTGTTTCTGTATCTTCATTTTCAATACTCTTTGAAGACACTCTATTTTCGGTATTCTTTAAAGAGACCTTATTTCCAATACTTTTTGAAGAGACTTCCTTCCTAAATGTTAAAATTAATAGTCAAAAAATACTTTCCTAGATCACAATTCTGTTTAAGGCTTTATATAGGTACATGCATATTTAATATAAACACACAGTATAATAAACCAACAATAAACTAAACTATGTCTGGCATTTGCCATTGTTATGATTCTTAGAATTTTTCATAATTCTTTAACACAGAGCATATAAGCAATCAGTTCTATGAATGGCTTTGGCACATCATTATGACATATATAATAGAATAAAAGGATTTAAGGAATACTAGTCTTTTTTTTTTTAAGTTTGTAAATCAATTCTCACCATTGCTAAATTGCTACACTTATGGAGAGAGTGCAACACTAATATTAACCTTTGGTCTATTGACTTCCATTTGTCAAAGTGAAGTTATTTATGGTAATAATGCCTCTAACCATTTTTAAAAATATCAACTAGTATACTCTAAAAGATCTGTTATTTAAATTTGGTTACAATTAAGGAAAGATTCAAATTTTTTCCTTTTTGTAATATCCTTTGGAAACGGAAGATATTTCACTTAGTATCTGCTAAGGTTAGAGAGTGAGTCTAATTAGACAGCTATCTCACCGGAATGGATCTACACTACAGGGTTTTAGGGTTGAGCACTGGGCACATTCATGAAACGCCCCCAAATTTCTACTGGAATTAAACAAGTCTTTCAGGAAGCTTGTATTTCAAACTTTGGTTTAAAGTGATTTATAAATTTGTCAAACATGGGCCCAAAAATTAATTAAAATTTACTTTTCCAAGAATGTCTTAGCTCCATTTATAGAAACTTGTGTTGCTGACATATAAAGTTTGCTGGCCATCCTTGGTCTTCGTCCAAAGAGGCATTTATTTAAAGTGTAAAAATGAGAATAAAAAAATAACTTGTCATTTGTTTCAGAAAAGATAAAACATGCTCATGTAATAACACACAGCTAAAATGTTTCGGCCTCCAGTACTGAGTGCTGTGGGGCTGCCTCAGCCACTTCCCCGTCCAGCTCTAGATATGCTCAAAAGCTGGACCAGAACCCCTAACAGACCAAAGGGCCAAGATCTACAGAATTTTGTCCAGCAGTAAGTAAAGATATATTTTACCTTTACCACTGAAAAGTTTGTTAATTAAGTGCAGTTTGTTGAGTGGATAAAATCTTTCCCACATGGATCTATGGGGAAAACGATAAATGTGAGTTTTGTGTGCACGTCAATATGAAACTCATGGTTTATAAAATCCTTGTGGCTTGGACCAGAATGAAGAATCAATCAGAAAATTAAGGCAAAGAACTGGTGCGAAAAGGAAACTTCTAGTTTCCCCCAACCCAAGCTTAATAGGTCCTTTTGGCAAATTCCACTTCCAGTCAGATTATGGAGCCCATAAAGGAGTAGAAAGTAGAATGTGAAGCTAATTAAGAAAATTCATCAACTTCACAGGTCATACTAGTCCTCAAACAAAGGTGCCCTGTGATTTTCTAATTTCTTACTTGACCATTTTTTCCCCAGGCCTGGCCCTGTTTGCCTCCAATTATGTGTAAGGTACCTGAGATGACAATGCCACACAACAGTGAAGCTTATTGGCTACACAAATGATCCACTTTGAACATCCAAACAACACCCAAACTCTTCTCTGCAAGCATATTAGAGGGAACAAGATCACCCTACCCTTTTAAAAAGTAGTTTGATAAGAAAATGCCATTATTAATGAAATCAGGAGAAAAAGTAGGCACTATGCTTTTCTTTTCTATTTTGGCCCATGCTGCCCTTGATTTATCTCTGAGATATAATTACCTCAGAATATATATCTATATCTATCTATCTATCTATCTATCTATCTATCTATAGAGAGAGAGCATGTATATCTCAATCAACAGAGAATTTATTTTTTCTGGTTGTATATAATATTTAATCTGCAATAAATAAATTCTCATCACTGATCTGTTATATATCAGTCTCCCTTTAATATAAAAATAAATATTTAATATACAATTTACAACAAAGCCAAGGTAGATTCTTATTTTAATTTTTAGGTGTGACAGTGTATAATTAAAATACAGGGTCTGACACAATATAACACTCCATTTTGATTACAAAATCATCAGCATGTAACTACATAACAGTATCACAGTCAAGCACATTATATATTTTAGGTGAAATGTTCAAATTAAAACTATAAATTATTTCTATCAATATTTTAAAATATATTTTATTGATTATGCTATTACAGTTGTCCCAATTTTTCTCCCCTTTCTCCCCCTCTGCCCTCCGTCCCCCCACACTCAAGCATTTCCTCCCCACTTAGTTCATGTCCATGGGTGGTACATAGAAGTTCCTTGGCTTCTCCATTTCCCATACTATTCTTAACCTCCCCCTGTCTATTTTATGTCTACCTATTATGCTTCTTATTCCCTCTACCTTTTCCCCCAATTATCCCTCCTCCCCCTCCCCAGGATAACCCTCCATGTGATCTCTATTTCTGTGATTCTGTTCCTGCTCTAGTTGTTTGCTTTTTAGGTTCAGTTGTTGATACTTGTGAGTTTGTTGTCATTTTACTGTTCATAATTTTTTATAATCTTTTTTTTTCTCAGATAAGCCCCTCTAACATTTCATATGATAAGAACTTGGTGACCTGGCTGGTGTAGCTCAGTGGATTGAGCACGGGCCTGCGAACCAGAGTATCGCGGTTCGATTCCCAGTCAGGGCACATTCCTGGGTTGCAGGCCAGATCCCCAGTAGGGGACACAGGAGAGGCAACCACACATTGATATTTCTCTCCCACTCTTTCTCCTTCCCATCCCCTCTCTCTAAAAATAAATAAATAAATAAAATATTAAAAAAAAAAAAAAAAAGAACTTGGTGATAATGAACTCCCTTAACTTGACCTTATCTGGGAAGCACTTTATCTGCCCTTCCATTCTAAATGATAGCTTTGCTGGACAGAGTAATTTTGGATGTGGGTCCTTGCCTTTCATGATTTTGAATACTTCTTTCCAGCCCCATCTTCAAGCTGCAAGGTTTCTTTGGAGAAATCAGCTCATAGTCCTATGGGGACTCCTTTGTAGGTAACTGTCTCCTTTTCTCTTGCTGCTTTTAAGATTCTCTACTTATCTTTAAGCTTGGGCAATGTAATTATGATGTGCCTTGGTGTGTGCTTCCTTGGGTCTAACTTCTTTGGGACTCTCTGAGCTTCCTTGACTTCCTGGAAGTCTGTTTCCTTCACCAGATTGGGGGAGTTCTCCTGTATTATTTTTTCAAGTGAGTTTTCAATTTCTTGCTCTTCCTGTTCTCCTTCTGGCACCCCTATGATTCAGATGTTGGAATGTTTAAAATTGTCCCAGAGGTTCCTAAGCCTCTACTTACTTTTTGAATTCTTGTTTCTTCAACTGTTCTGGTTGAATGTTTATTTCTTCCTTTTGTTTCAAATTATTGATTTGAGTCCCAGTTTCCTTCCCTTCACAGTTGGTTCCCTGCCTATTTTTATTTCGTTTTGCATAGCCTTCACTTTTTCCTCCATTTTTGCAACCATAACTCAACCATTTCTGTGAACATCCTGATTACTAGTGTTTTGAACTCTGCATCTGATAGGTTGGCTATATCTTCATTACTTAGTTCTATTTTTGGAGCTTTAATCTGTTGTTTCATAAGGGCCATATTACAGTGATCCCTCACCTATCTCAGGAGTTATGTTCCAAAGACCCCTGTGATAGGTGACAATCCTCAAAGTAGCAGCGTTATATTTATTTTATTATTTATATATATTTTAAGGCTTTATAAATCCTTCCCACACTCTTATAAACCTTTCCCACACTCTTATAAACACTTCATATGCTCTTAAACACTTTCTATACTCTTAAATCTACATATTTCAACAATATATAAAATTCTATGTGGGTACTCACCAGTGAAGTATAGTCATGCCTTGCTATATCGCAGTTCACTTATTGTGGCTTCACTGTATCGTGTTTTAAAACTGAGATACAGTGAAGCCGCAATTAGGGAACCATGATATAGTGAGGGACGACAGTATTTTGTCTTGTCACAGCTGTTCTGTTGTAAGGGGTGGAATCTTAGTTATTTACTAGGGCAGGGCAACCCAAGTCACTGCATTGTGGTGCTTGTGGGGGAGGGTTACAAGAGGGAACAATGCTACCTGTTCAGCTCTTGGCCAGCTCTTAGTAACTTCCCCTGTTACCCATAAGCAAATGGGGCCCATCCCATGCTTACTCCCAGGTAGGTGGGATTGTGTACAGTCTAGTACCCTGTGGATCTCTCCAACAAACTCTCTGGTGAGACCTGGAGTTTCTTCCACTGTCAAAACCCCCACAGGTCTTTACCACTAGAGGATTTGAGGCTTTATTTCCCCACACTGAAACCATGAATTGTGCAGTCTGTCTCGCTCCTCAGTTGCTCCTCCTGGTTTATCTGCATGCAAATGTGGGACTAGGTGGTCCACCAGGTGCTGCCTCACCCCCCCAGCTGCCTCCTTGCCTCCCCTCTGCTCTGTCCTGGCTGCCCATGTCCACCCCTCCTACCAGTGTGAATGAATGTTTCTTCTTTTAACTCCTTGGTTGTAGGACTTCCATACAATTTGATTTTCTGGCAGGTCTGGTTATTTTTTTATTTTTAAATTTGTTTTTGTCCTTCTTTTGGTTGTGCAAGGAGGCAAAGTACATTTACCTATGCCTATATTATTATACCCGCAATATTACCCTACCAACCTCACTCAAGCAGGTGTTACTTCTGCCAGACCCTGTATATGTTGCATTAGGTGAAAAATTTCCTAACTAGTAATATTCACAGTAAGCCAAAATAATATTAATTTCAGTAGAATTCTACCAGAAGAGTACTTATCAACTTGTCAATAACTTATCTCTATGAATGTTTTATGATCAACTTTCAAAATGTAATCTTCATGGGAGAAATGCTAGAATTATTTCTCAGGTGGTAAGAGATGATCATATCAGGAAGGGCTTTGAAGAATTATCATAATTAGTGCCTTGAACAAAGCAGGTACTTAATATTTACCTACTAAATTTAAACTGGATTCTTTTTAACACTAATCTCTTCAACTACTTGGGGTGATTATGAATTTTCCTTATTTAGTAGTAACAAATCATCACATAGTAAATAAAGAATCTGTTTATAAATATTCATTTAAAGAGATATTCTGAAGGAAATTAGCAAGTATCAAAGGAAAATAGAAATGAACAATGAAAATTTTATAAGTAAAATACAGAACACTTGGTATTTAAAAATTTAAAAGTAGAAGTCAATATTATCTATCTGTACATTTTTATTAAAGTTCCTTTTTCATTTTAAATGTCCTTTTCTCTAGTAACAATTGCTTTGACTGAAGCAAAAAAGCTAAAGTGCTAATCCATGCATTTCTGGCCTTTCAAATTTAATTGGGTGACAAATGATTGCATTATCTAGTTCTAATTGCTCAAAAGGCATGTGATAGATCAGTTGCACAACCAGAGACATTTTCTTACTCTGACATGGTTTCATTTGGTTTAATGACCACTTTTTCTGAAAGAGAAGAAAAAAGAGCCTCAGTATTTTGTCAATGGTGATGTTCATAACAGAAATTCCTCACTGGCAAATATTTAGGCACTTTTTGAATGACAGACAACATAATAAAGGATTTAATTGCTAAATCTTTCAACCACACTTATCCACCCCAGAAGACTATCTTCTGCATATTTAGGACAAAATGGTATTCAAACATAGTCTTTTTAAGTAATAAATAATTTACCCTTTGGATCAAATACTAGCAGTTTGCCATTCTGAATATATTTTTGTGCCTAAAACAGAAGCAGAAATAAAAGCCAGCATTATCATTATTATTTTCATGTGAGGTATTTGAAATAACTTACTCAGTCTTTATATAAACATTTCTGTTATCAAGATTAAAAGGTAATTTTATCTAAAAGTAATTATTCAGAAACTATATAAATTGATGGTAAGATAGAACTATAAGTGTCCTAAAAAGTTTATGTACTCTTACCTTTACAACATCTGTCTTTTCTAGATAATTTCTGCAAAAAACAAAAAATGTACTTCATAAGTCTTTAAACACTTATATGAATTTAGAACATAAAGTATAATGCAGAACTTGTTTTGTCAGTAGAGTATTAAGTATGTGCTTTGTTTTTGTATTTAATAGCATTATTTCCATCCTAACTGAAAAACCTCAATCTTTTGGATTATGAAATTAGGTGTAAAAGAAGTCTAGAGAAATTAACCCCTTCTCCCCATTTTACCTTGGAGTCTATGTAAAATTAACTATAGGAATGATTTTGCATGTTAGAAAGGTGATGTATGAGTTCCAGCCAAGATGGAAGTGTAGGCAGAAATGCTTCACTTCCTTGAACAACCAAAAGAAGGATAACAACCAAATAACAACCAGAACTGCCAGAAAATCAAACTGCATGGAACACCGACATCCAAGCAGACTGACAGCATCACAACACAGCAAAGAGGATTGCTCTGCTCTGGTGAATACCTAAGGCTTCACCCCTTACAACCTAACAGCTGTGCCAAAACAAAGAAATATGCCCCAAATGAAGAACAGGTCAAAACTCCAGAAAAACAACTAAGTGACGAGGAGCTAGCCAACCTATCAGACTTAGGAACCTATCAGGTTCCTAAGTTCCTTAGTTCCTATCAGGCTTAGGAACCTCTGGGACAATTTTAAACATTCCAACATCTGAATCATAGGGGTGCCAGAAGGAGAACAGGAAGAGCAAGAAATTGAAAACTCACTTGAAAAAATAATACAGGAGAACTCCCCCAATCTGGTGAAGGAAACAGACTTCCAGGAAGTCAAGGAAGCTCAGAGAGTCCCAAAGAAGTTAGACCCAAGGAAGCACACACCAAGGCACATCATAATTACATTGCCCAAGCTTAAAGATAAGTAGAGAATCTTAAAAGCAGCAAGAGAAAAGGAGACAGTTACCTACAAAGGAGTCCCCATAGGACTATGAGCTGATTTCTCCAAAGAAACCTTGCAGCTTGAAGATGGGGCTGGAAAGAAGTATTCAAAATCATGAAAGGCAAGGACCCACATCCAAAATTACTCTGTCCAGCAAAGCTATCATTTAGAATGGAAGGGCAGATAAAGTGCTTCCCAGATAAGGTCAAGTTAAGGGAGTTCATTATCACCAAGTTCTTATCATATGAAATGTTAGAGGGGCTTATCTGAGAAAAAAAAAGATTATAAAAAATTATGAACAGTAAAATGACAACAAACTCACAAGTATCAACAACTGAACCTAAAAAGCAAACAACTAGAGCAGGAACAGAATCACAGAAATAGAGATCACATGGAGGGTTATCCTGGGGAGGGGGAGGAGGGATAATTGGGGGAAAAGGTAGAGGGAATAAGAAGCATAATAGGTAGACATAAAATAGACAGGGGGGAGGTTAAGAATAGTATGGGAAATGGAGAAGCCAAGGAACTTCTATGTACCACCCATGGACATGAACTAAGTGGGGAGGAAATGCTTGAGTGTGGGGGGACGGAGGGCAGAGGGGGAGAAAGGGGAGAAAAATTGGGACAACTGTAATAGCATAATCAATAAAATATACTATTATTTAAAAAGAAAACCAAGTGATGTATTAAGTTAGCTTCTAATTCTATTACTATTTTGATTTTATATAACTCGGTCCCTAGATCTACATCCAAATCAATCAACAGCAGGGTAAGGAATCACTTTTCCTACTGTGCCGACCGTAACAATCATAAATTCAGTTTGGCTCATGTTTACCCCACCTTTTTTTTTCTCCCACTTCAACAAAACAAGATGTAAGCCAAAGTATATGATACATTCCAGATCATACATGTTATGAAAAATGCCTTTATAGAGTGCATATAAGCCAGAATAAGATACGGTATTTTTAATAAAATATTATTTCAACCAATATATTTAGAAATTAACCTCCAGACACATTTAAGAATATAATTCTTACTTTAAAAGTACCTTTATGTGTTTTTAATACCTATTAGTTAAATGTTTTCTCTGTGAACCTTTACTTTTCCTAAGCTACCCCCCGAGAGACTGATTTTCCTATAAATTAGCCTTTTATGTATTTGCCTAAATTTCATTCTAATTGTGAGGAGAAAAATCAGCTCATAAGGTTTTTAATGTATGAGAGAGGCCACGCTTAAACTTGCCATAGGTATGAATTTACTTGTCTCTACATTCTCAAGTAGACTTTTCAAATTATTATTAGTAATACATACCTAGGGATTTCTGGAAAACAATACTTAGGGCCAAATCTGTGGGCAATAAAAGAGAAGTTTCATTATTTTGTATTACGTTTTTCTCTTTTTAAATCCAGCTCCCTCACATTGATCTGCACTCCTGAATAAGCAGTAGAATGTCAACTTTTGCCTCAGGCTTTGTTTCTTGAGCAACCCTAACCAAGCCAGACATTATATATGTTATTATTATTATTTTATTTCAAAAAATATGTTTATTGATTTGAGAGAGAGAGGAAGATAGAAAGAGACACTGAGAGAACAGGCCAGAGAGAAACAGAAACATTGATGTGAGAGAGAAACTAGATTGGTTTTCTCCCATAAGTGCCCCGACTGGGGAATGGACCACAACCTGCGTTCGTGCTAACTGGTAATCACACCCCCAGTCCTTTGGTGTACAGGACGATGCTCCAACCAATTGAGCCACACCAGCATGGGCTGTATATTATTAACTTGATTATCCCTCTGAGAAATTCGCAGAGAGCTAAAGTCTATCAGAAAAGCAAGGCATCATTTTAGGAAAAAGTGTTGAAGACCAAACTCAAGAATAAATGATTTTACTCGTAAATCTCTAGCACAGTAGACAGAGCTCAGAAGCTAAAAACAATGCAAAAATGAACCAAATAAGGCCCTTAAAACAAAAAAATCGAGGATGACCTCTCTGGAGAAACACTTTCACTCCAGGGATTTCCACGATCCTGTGTGTTGACATAAGACCACCTGGGGAGGCATCTCTTTAGTTTTAGAGCCTTCCTCTCCTTGTTGGCTCTAGGATATTTATGGATTGCTAGTTCACCCTTTCCTGGAAGAAACATCAGTGCATATAATTTTTATTCCATTTTCACCTGGTAATAGGGCAGATCCTAGCCTTTGATGGAAACACAGGCCCTGCGAGGTCTTCTTACTTAAGATTGAATCCCTATGGGGCAGTGAAGAGTAACACTGAAGAGTTGGGACTCTTGAGTGACAGAAACTGGATTCATATCCGAGCAAGCATGGGTTAGTTACTTATTTTCTCTAGGCCTCAGCTCCTCCAACTGTAAAACAGGGATCGCAAAGGTGCCAACCTCATTGGATCATTATAAGGATTATATAGGATGATGTAGGTAAAGTGTTTAGCATAGTGCATGGCACATAGAAGGGACACTGTAGAAACTACCTGAAAAATTGGGAAGATGTTCTATGGGGCTGATTAAGATTGCGTAGGGAAAAAAGGGGGCTTTACTGTGATTGAGACAAGCAAATTAGCTTTGAAGACTTTTAATGAATTAGTTTAAAAATCACACAAGCCCAAAAGTAATGATACTTGTTTAGAAAGATTTTTCTAAACAAGAGTCCCAAACAAGATGGTGGCAAAGAAGACCACAACAAGACACAGCATAATTAAAATGCTGCAGGTTAAAGATAAAGAGAGAAACAAAAGTAGCAAAAGCAAAGTAGATAGTTACCCATAAGACCATTCGCTGATTTCTCAAAAGAAACTTTGCAGGCTAGATGGGACTGGCAAGAAGTATTCAAAGTAATGAAAGGCAAGGACCTACAACCTAGATAACTCTATCTAGCAAAGCTATTATTTAGAATTGAAGGGTAGGTAGTGTTTCCCAGATAAGGTAAAGCTAAAGGAATTTCATCATCACCAAGCCATTATTATATGAAATGTTAAAGGGATTTATTTAAGAAAAAGAAGACCAAAAACTATGAGTATTAAAGTGGCAATAAATTGACAACTATCAACAACTGAATTGAAAAAAGCAAACAGGCAGAACAGGAATAGAACCATAAATATGGAGATCATTGGAGGGTTATCAGTTGGGGGGGGGACAAAGGAAGATGGGGGGGAAGATGCAGGGATTAAGAAGTACAAATTACCTGGCTGGTATAGCTCAGTAGATTGAGTTCAGGCCTGCGAACCACACGATCACAGTTCAATTCCCAGTCAGGGCACATGCCTGGGTTGCAGGCCAGTTTCCTGCAGGCCAGTTCCCAGCAAGGGACTCACGAGAGGCAACCATACCTTGATATTTCTCCCTTTCTCTCCTTCCCTTCCCCTCTAGAGATAAATAATAAAAATAAAATCTTGAAAAAAAATCTTAAAAAAATTTTTTTAAAAAGTACAAATCAGTAATTACAGAACAGATGGGGGGATGTTAAGAATAGTACAGGAGATGGAGTAGCCAAAGAACTTATATGCATGACCCGTGGACATGAACTACGGAGGGGATTGTTGGAGGGAATGGTGGGTACTGGATAGAGGGGGCAAAAAGGGAAAAACTAGGACAACTATAATAGTATAATAAATAAAATGTATTTTTTTAAAAAGAATATGAGTCTAGAGTGGCCAATAGCCATGGTTCTAGCCTTTAAGGAAAAAAAGTGGCCTGAGAGTGAAGCGGAATATACAAAAGAATCAGGGATGAGAGATGATGAGATATGCGGGGGTGGGAGGAGGCAGAGACAGAAGAGACAGAGGATGTTTGAGTCCTTTTTTCCAGCTCAAGCTCTGCCTTTACGACAAGCCAATTAAATTCTCCTTTAGCTAAAACAAACTAGAGTTGATTTTTGACATTTCAAGACAAAAGAGACCTTGATCAATATGATTCCTACTCCTTAAAACCAAAAGAGGCTAAAGTACCTGATACCACGTAATAAGAACTACGTATCAGAATTAAGATAGTCTGAGGGGGCACAGAGTGAAAAGTGGTGAATTCTATCTGCTATAAGAAGAAAGATTGAATCAGGCTTCATGATGAAGCTGACATTTACTTAACCAAGTCA